TTGAGTCGATCTTGTGCTCTAGGAGGGTCCTGTCGAAGTCGACGTCCGTCGGCAGGTAGACGTTGCCTAGGTAATGGTCGTAGCGATCGAATGGACAGGCTCGTCGTGGGGCCCCTGGAGTCGCCTCCTCAGCTTGCGGCGAGCCGGCGGATGAAGAAGATCCTGCGAAGTACGGGCAGAGGTGCTCCGTGAGCAGGGTCGCGACTTTGGACCTTCCTGACGTGTTGAGCATTGACGATGGTGGTGGTGGCGATTGTCTGGACGAATTGGAGTCATCGGAGCGGCCGCCCTCGAAGTCCGTGGCCGCGTCTAGCCAGCCGGTCGTGTCGATCCAGAAAGTCGACTTGTCCCCGTCGGCTTGCAGGGTCGCAGCAACTTGGGCAAGGGCGCTGGAAATGACTTTGTCGAGCTTGAGCTTCTTCGTGACCGAGTGCCGTGTTGCGGAGAAGGGTGCGAGGAGGAATATTGAGAGCGTGGACGGCGCCGAGTTGTAGATGTAGCTCCCGTCATCGCCTAGATCCGTGGCCAACCCGTTCATCGTCGCGGTGTTCGGGTCAAAGGGATACGCGTTTGCACGGATTGCTTGGATCAATTTGATGTATGCGTCGACAAACTCGTTGGTGAACTTGGCCAGAGCATGCCTGTTGACGGGTTTGCTCCTCCTCGCGTCGGGAGAAGGAGAGAAGAATTGGACGAAATCCACGAGTCCGAGCTGGAGGAGGAGCACCGAGGGACTGTACAGCTTGAAGTTCCAGGGACGTGCAAAAGCCCTTGTCCCCAGAGGTCCTGCGCGGAAGAATTGATCTCGCACACTCGGTCCCGACTCTCCTGCTGGCATCAAGCCGATTCCTGTTGTGTCCAGGATCACCGTATCCACATGGGATTCTGCCCCCAGCTGCTTGCACCAAGCCTGTATTCTTTCGTGCGAGTCATTTCGCAGAGTCGATGGGTGCAGACGATGATTCATGGCTGAAAGCGATATCTCGGACGTGACGATCTCGACAATTTCCCTCCTTGGCCGGGACGCATTCTGATCATTGTGGACAGTTTTGTCGAAACGTTCATCAACGGGAAGGAGTCTCGCTGGCGAGGACGTCTCGTTCAAGGCCGATGAAGCTGCTCTGACCTCCGCAGATGTGGCATTGTCAACCCAAATGCCTTCAAACTCGAGGACGCCACCAGTGCCGTTCGGGCCTCCCACATGTGTGAGCCTGACTCTGTACGTCTCTCGTGGATCAAGGTCTTTGACGATCGGAACAACCAAGCCAGCCGCTTCTACCCAGTAGGTGTTGTGGCCCTCGATCGATACCATGAGGCTCACGGGTTCTGAAGCTCTGGTATTGCTACCGCTCGACCCGAATTCGGAGTGATGGATATCCCCGGCGTCCACCTGTTCTGGCTGCTGCTGTTTGGAGGCAAAGTTGGGATTATTGAGAGAAAGATAGAGGCAGGTGGCGTTCGCTATGACCATCTCGACATATGAACCTGCCCGAACAATTAGTGCTTCCACCGGCTCTTCGTGTTGACTGATCAACAGACCTGGAAATGCTGCGTCCCGCCGCAGTTGATTTGCCGTGGGCATCCATCGTCCAACATACTATCGAGGTTCAGTCTCGACGGGTTAAGAAGAAGCATTGGCACTGTGGCCTACATGGAAGTGAGGATGGCTGGCCGGAATGAAGATGTTTTCCTTCTCTAGCAACTTTCGTAGGATGTGCTTGAGGGAGATCCGACCGTCGATGCCAGAAATCGTGAAGGAGGGCGAGACAGGGATCGCGAACACATGGACGAAGAATAGGATCATCAGAGGAGACAGTACAAACAAGCAGAAAAGACGGAGCTTCGTGGTCCACGAACTCACCATCTTGACTTCCGCGGTAGAGAGTGCCCTCCAACCCGTGCGATGGGTGTGTAGACTGTAGAGAGTGTTGCGGACAAAAGATGAGAAATCCTAGCTCTGGCGATTCACTCTTCAATCCGCAATCATGTGCCCATAAAACGGGACTGGTCTGGCAGAAGATAACTCAAAGCTCCTATATTTTAGAGCCACCATTTCTGTCAACAATTCTCATGTCTATCCTGAGCCCTGATCTCTAATGGCCAACACCACCGTTTGCTAGATGAGCTAGTCGGGGCGTGAGGGTGTGGCCGCCGGGCATGAGACAGCTTCTCTTGGGAGTTTCGAGAATCCTTGGAGGTAACTGCCCTGACCCTGTAAGCTGCCCACTGAGGTGGCCCTGTTGCATGATATTTCAACTGGGGGTTCCGCGTCCAAATACGGCTCCCTATCTGTGGGTTGTCCGAGGCCGGAGAGGACCTGACGAGACAACGGAAAAAACCCCTTCCACGGCCGGGGGTTTTACCTCGATTCAACCTCAGCTTCCACCGGGAAGTTGGGCTTGAATTAGAGTTTTTGCATTTGTGGTGGGCAGTCAGTTTTTTTCTTTCTTTTTGGGGGCACGGAAAGTAATTGTGTGTTTTTGAACGCAAGGCTGTGCAGACTGTATGTGCGCGAGGCTGAAGGAAAGCCGCCAAGATGTGTTGACCACCGCGAACAGAAAGGGGGCGTTTGTCATTGCCTTGACTCGATATACGGCTCATCCTCTTGGCACATGGCTTGTCTCTGGCTGAATCAACTTCTGACTCTCAAGTGCCTGGTGCCTTGTTGACATCCTCCTCCGAACCGTCACCTTCTTCAGTACATACGTCTTCTCCTTGAAGGCCCAGCTTCTCCTCTGCCAGCCGTCTGTACTTTCTGCGCTTCTTCTTATCCGCACTCCTCTTCTTGCGTTGCTTCCTCTCCACTACTTTGGCCGCCCGGCTCTCCTCACCCTTTGTCAGCAATTCCACTTTCTCGGCAAGAATCCTTTTGGCAATAGTGTGGTTTTGGCTTCTACTGCGCGTGGCTTGGCACTTGACAACAATGCCAGTTGGAATGTGTGTCAATTGGGCGGCCGAGTTGGTCTTATTGATCTTCTGACCGCCTGGTCCAGTGCCTTTGACGTAGGTGTGTTTGATCTCAGCATCTGAGAGGGTTGGGCGTGGCGGAAGGTATTTGCCCGACTTGTGGAACAGGTTGGTGACCGTGCTGAAGCAGTAAATGGGACCGGTCTTGCTGAGGCTGGGGTTCTCACATTGAAATGCTGGACAGACGTGCAGCCGCCTCAGCGGGCGGCATACAAACATCGCTTACATGCCCAATTGCAACCGGGTAAGGTGACGGCTGGGATGCGAGGTATCAACGAGGACGAGATCCTTGACAGAAGAGCATTAGTTCTGGAGGTTGTCCAGCAGCATTGAGCCTGCGCAAGGCTAGGGGGGCGAGACGGTGGCCCTAGTCCCTAATTTGATAGGTAGGTAAGCCGATGATGGGGCTGAGATGGCCAAGAATTATGATTGTATACCCTGTACCGATTACGGCGAGGCGGGATCCTTTCTGCGCCCTTAGTTGCACCGAGGAAAGAAAGCTATTTGATATCTATTCCGTACCTCTCAGCCACCCTATATGTCACGGTTCGTGCATCCCTCAGTGTAGTCATCACAGACCTGAGCCCTTTTGGGAGGAAGTGTACAGCTGTCCGCAGCGAAGGATGGAAAGCGGACAGGGAACAAGGTTCCTCCGGCGCCGAGGCTGCGGCCCATCTTTCCCGCATGTTGTGTCGCCCCATTCTCTGACATCAATCAACCTATCATTTCCTTGTCCCTTCCGTGTCCAGCCTCATGCACCGTGTCTTGTGCGTTATCGAGATACTTGAGATGCCGGGAACTGGTCGTTAGAAGCCCGCCTATGGAAGCTCCTTTGATGATCGTTGTGATATCATAAAATACCATCATCCTCCACCGACACCTCAAAATGCGGTGACATTGACTCTTTCGTCAAAAGGTAGATTTCGTCTCTGTTTCTCGCTCCCTTCTCTGGAGTTCCTTATATGCACTCTTAGGACCATGATGTCCCCCTCTGGCCGTCTGCAGGGTCGCGTGGCCGTCGTAACCGGCTCCAGCTCCGGACTTGGACAAGCCATCTCCCTCGCCCTCTCCGCTGAAGGCGCTTCAGTCTTCTGCATCGACCTATACCCAACGCCGCGGAACGCGATCAATCCATCGACTCAGCGTGCAGACGACTTTCACAACCGCGTGACCGGTCAGCCAGGAACGCACGAACGCATCCGCCACCTGGGAGGTGAGGCCACATACCACAAAGCCGACGTCACCCGAGCGCGGGACATGGAACTCGCCATTCGAGCCTGTGTGCAGAGATACAAGAGGGTAGATATCATGGTGAACAACGCTGGTGTTAGCGTGGAGAGCACACATGTCCGTCCACTCCGATGTCACGAGACAAGCGAAGAAGACTACGACAAGACAATGGCTATCAACGCAAAAGGCATGTTTCTGGGCTGCAAGTACGTTCTCAAGCAAATGCTGGACGGACAGTCTCAGATCTACTCCTCGAGGGGATGGATCATCAACACGGCCTCTGTTCAAGGACTCGTCCCGTTCTACGGTACGCCCTCTTATTGCGCATCTAAAGGCGCCGCGGTCATGTTGACAAAGCAGATTGCACTGGACTATGCCAAGGATTTGATTCATTGTAACGCTCTCTGCCCGGGCTTTCTGGAAACAAGCATGACGCAGAACCTACAGGGCCAGCCGCAGGAGTTGGAGGAGATTCAAGGGAAACATCCGTTCGGACAGAAGCTGGGCAAAGTGGAGGATGTAGCGAGGGCGGCTGTGTTTCTGGCAAGTGATGAGGCTGGGTGGATCACTGGAGTTCCTTTGCCTGTCGATGGCGGTTACTTGTTGAGATAAATGCTGGGAGCTTCCTTCCGGGCGGAGAGCGAGAGCCTGGGGCGCCTGGGAATATTGGTGGCGATGAGTCTGGGGCGTTTAATGCGAAGGCTTCACAACAATGTGATCAAGATTATTGAAGCGGCCTCAACATGCTGACGGTCAGCTGTCAAATATTACCTTGGGAACAAGTACATCCGGAATACAGTGAATTAGCCCTCTTGTGCCGCCTCGATTTTCAACCACATGTCCAACCACACCCTCCCTTCTTCTCCTACCTCTCCAGGCCTCTTATAACACTCCTCCAGCACGCCCAACACCCTCTCCCTCAAGATCTTCACTGCCATCAGCTCCCTCCAGCGCTTGACCGAAAGCTTCACCTTCCCACCATCCAACAGCAAGACCCCCGCGAAGAACTTAAACTCCGCTTCCGCGCCCAAGAGCATCGCGAGCGCGGACTCGGGGATGGCAGATGTCTCAAAGACATTGAGGGCGCCGCTGCGGGTGTTTTGCACGGCCTCGTAGAAGGAGAGCCAGCGCGGTGCCGTCGGTGCTGTCTTGGGAGTCTGGGAAGAGGAGGGGTGGTTGACAGATCGCGGTATGAGCGAGACGAGCTGGTTCGTGTACACGTTGCGCCAGCCTTTGCCTTCCTGCATGAGGATCCGAGGGTACAGTGCCATGGCGATGATGGCGTTGAGGGCCCGGTCGGGCACGGTCTGGTTGTAACGGGCGGGAATATCGTAGGACGGAAGAACACCGCCTCGTCCGGAATAAGTGCGGGCCCTGTTCAGGGCTGCTCGTTCCTCCGGCTCCAGCGTCACCAGGCCTGCGTCGACGAGGTACACGAGCAACTGAATCTTTTGCGCCTCGACCTGCCCCATCGTCTGGTCGCTGATGTGGTTTTTGCGGCAGAATTCCTGGGCCATGCGGGCTGCTTTGGCTTTCTTCCAGCTTTCGTAGGCGTTCAGGGACGAGAGCAGGTCCGAGTTACCCCGACTGAACGCGTGTCGAGCATCGATCTGTGAACCGGAAGTTGGAATGGGCAGGAACGGTGACTTGGAGCCCAAGAGGGATATGATGGCGAGTATGGGATCCTGGAGCAGGGGAAAGGTTAGAATAAATATCTTGACGAGAAGATATGCCACCCATTATCCGCCGACAGTATGCCAACTCACCAGACATCTGAAAATGACCCCAAAGATCGCCAGCTTCGCCAACAACACCTCCAGGGGTAGCCTAGCAATCTGCTGCCCCAGCGGCGTCAGCGCCTCATTCTTGGCCAACGCTCCCGCGTCCTTCAACTTGTCAATCGCTCTGAGCACATTCTTCCTCGAAGGCGGCTCGATCGCCGCATTGAGCGTCTCCTCAATCGACCCCAGATTCCACACCTTGATCCGCAGAATCGGATCCTGCAAACTCAGTCGCAGCATTTCTGGGACTTGCTGCTCAAGCATCAGATTTTCGTACCGATGCTTGGTGACGAGGTGGAAGCAGAGACCCTCCTGGACGCGAGCGGCGCGACCTCTCCGCTGCCGCGCTGAAGAGCGGGAAATGAATCCCTCCGTCAGCCGCGAGAGCTGGCGGCGTTCATCGAAGCGCATGATTTTCTCCTTGCACGTGTCGATCACCGCCGTCACGTCTGGAATGGTTATGCCAGTCTCGGCGATATTGGTCGCGATCACGATCTTTCTGTGCCCTTTTGGCGGTCGCTCAAAGGCCCGCTCGAGCTCCTCAGTCGAGAAGGTCGAATGTAAAAGGTGCACGACCCAGTTTCTGCCGAAGGTGTCCATTGAGAGGAGAAAGCTGTACAGACGTCGCATTTCGCCTATGCCCGGCATGAAGATCAGGATTGCACTGCTGTATTTCGCATAACGTGGTTTGGTGGCAATGGTGGCGGCGAGTTTTGCGACAAGGCTATAGTCAATATGATATTCATCCATGTTGACAACCGCCTGTTGAGTCTGACTACTGTACTTCTCCGGTTCGGCGATGACAGGTCGCCCCTTATCGTTCGCGTAAAACTCGTCAAAGTCCTGATCTTCGTCCTGGACGACTAAGTCATTTTCTTTGACGCCAGCAAGGTCATTGGTAACCTCGACCGCATCCTCTAGGAATCCCACTTCAACAGGAAATGTCCTTCCAGGCAGGTCTAACACCGGTGCGCCACCAAAGTAGTCCGAGAATTTCTTCGCGTCAACTGTAGCCGACATGAGGACGATCTTCAATGTACTCCGGCGCTTCATCAACTTCTGCAACGCGATAAATAGCAGGTCCAAATCCATTGTACGTTCATGGACTTCATCCAGGATGAGGCAGTCCAGCTCAATGAGGTTCGGGGATTCCTCCAACATTCTCAACAAAACGCCGGTCGTCGCATATGTGATGCGAGTGGTATTGCTGGTCTTGCTCTCCAAACGGATTGCATAGCCGACAAGTGATCTATTAGTGCCGATGTCATTCCGACTCTCCCCCAGCTCCTGAGAAACACGTCTGGCCAAGGTGATAGCAGATATTCTCCTTGGCTGCGTCACAAGGATGCGATAATCTCGACCGGCGCTGAACTCCTGTTCCAGAAGCAGGACCGGGATCCCAGATGACTTGCCAGCTCCAGTCTCTGCGCAAATGACGCTCACCGCGTTTTTGCGAATGCAAGAGAGGATCTGGTCTTTGTACTGATGAACAGGGAGCTGTTGGCGGATTTGGAGCATTTCATGAAAAGATGAATGAGAGGTTCGCATATTCCATTCCTTAGAAACTTGTTCTGGGCTCCAATTCGAGACAGGTACTCTTGTCCGGCGGCGATCACTGACGTTGCTGAGCGGCTTAGCTAGCTCCTTGCTGGGGAGTTTTGCTTGTTGCTGTTTCAGTCGTTCCTGTGTTTCATGAATGAGCGCCCGAAGCCGCCGCAGGGTCTCTTTCCGTTCCTTGTTGACGACCTTCTCTTTTGCTTCGCCCAAGTCTTTGACCACATCTCTCCAGACGGTCGGCAGACGACCAATTGCTTTCTGCTCACTTGCGCCTAGTGTTGACACCAGAAACAGGCCGAGCGTGCAGATATAAGCTTCCGATTGAGCAGTGCTTGCTGCCGCAATCATTCTCATCTCCAATTCCCAAAGTCGCTCACTAACTTGCGCAAAGATCTCGGGTGGTAATGCCGTCGTAGCGAGACCTTCAGGCATAGTATTGGCTGTCCAAGAGATTTGTAGAGTGTGTCGCGCAGAGTATGAGGTTTCCTGCAAAGTTCTGCTCTGTACTCGACATCCCGAATCACGGGTTCTACAGACTTCATCAAGCAGTCGTTTCGGCGAAAGGCCAGACCAATTTCCAAAGTCCAGTAGTCTTATTGAGCTCTCAGATGCCGGGTGGTTCTGCTGAGGAATAAGAGTGTCTTCAGATTCTCCAAACATGCCGCCCAGAAGACCATCTTCATCCTCAGCAGTTGCAGGTCCATTGTCCTCTGCCACGAGCTTCTTGATCTCGGTATCATCGTCAATGTTTTGTTGAGCGGCGGCTTGCTTTTGCTCTCGCCGTTTTGTAGCAGCAACCCGCATGAGTTGTTGGCGTGTTCCCTGGAGTTGAGTCAAGATGGTTGCCCATGCAGCTTCTGCTTCTTGTTTATCGAACAGCGGATCACAACATAGTTGTTGTAATTTACTCTGCAATCTAGCGATTCGCTTTTCCTTTCTGGCCACTGCCTTCATCCTGTCGTTGGCTTCTTCGTTTTGAGCCACCCAGATCTGTTGTTGAATTCCAACAAATTTCTCTGTCAGTTTCGCAGGGTCGTTGTCTTCCTCAGATTCTGAAGCCTCTGGGCTTGCCGATGAGTCTTCCTCCGCTTCTGCGACTCCTGCAGGAGTCGCCGCAGGAGACTGTCTGCTTTGGTTGCCGGTTGCCGGTTCTGTATTCTTGTCAGCCCTGTTGGAACATGCAGGTCAAAACTTGCAGCAGGTATAAATTGACGGTGTCACGGAGGGTAAATGCGGCCGCCTGGGACATTGATACAGCGTCCAACGAGTCGGAATTTCGCAACTTCTGGGCGCTCGCGGCAGGCAGGAGATCTTCGACCGCCTTCATTGACACTGTAAGACATAAAAGACAACTGAACGATTTCTAGGATCGGGCCATTTCTTACTGACCTGATGCTATTTGGAGAGGCGTGCTATCACCACTCAATCCAGTCTTTGTTCCTGTCGTCTGCTCATAGTTCATGAGTTCCGTCGCTGGACCTTTAGAGGCATACCATTGCAAAGCTTCAGGCAGACCAGAGAGGGAGTCAGGGGTTACCGTTAGCTGTCCCAGAAGAGCAATTTCAGTAATGTAAGCAACTGCCAGTGAGACACTCGGAAAGTTCAATGACACCAAGACTCTCTCCAAACTCCAGAGGTCGACCGAGAGCTTCTCTTCATCTACTGAAGTCCGAACGCCCCTGGAGGCTGGAAATACAGCATTCGTATCCCCAACGTCCATACCGAACACATCGTTAATCGTCTCTTCGGGCAACCAGTTGTATGTTGATAACCTATGGGCCTGCGGACGCAATTGACGCCGCTCGGTTTCTAGTCTGACCACTTGACGTCGAGCATCAGCAATGCATCGGTTAGCATACTTGCTGAGCATCGTCTCCAATTCAGATTCTTCCAGATGAGCTTCAAACTCCTCGGGAGTCATATCTTGGATCTTCAGACCGTGCTCAGACGGCTTGCCGCTGTTCGGAGCCGCGTGCTCGTCATCAAGCCGTGCCGTGAGTTTAGTATCAGTGCCTGCTACCAGAGATTCATCATTGACGTTAACCAAAGCCTGATCCGGCTCGTCAACGGTCTTGGACTTAGAAGGTAGAGAAGTCGTGGCAAAGCCTCGAGCAGGATTAGCCGTGGGCTTCTTCTTCTTCTTTGGGGCCATTTCCGAGCAGGCTCAAGTGGTCAGTAGTCTGGTTGAGTTGCGGAGACCTGTCTTGTGGCCGAAGATGAACGACAAGTGACTTTTAGATGTAGATCGTGGTGATTTCTGTACTCGGTGGTATCAATTAGGGCTGGAGACAGTCAAGGACTCCAGTGCCAAGCAAATTGACAACTGCATTGTCTCCCGACTGCCCCAAAAGGCTCTCACCGAGTCGCCGCCTGCTCGTTAGACCATACCCTGAGCAAAGACAATCCTACCTATACTTGCTACTCCGTACATATCTTGGTATGGGCTGTTTGATCTGAAGCTGTTCATTGCGAGTCAATTCTGCCCACACGCTCCTCGAGGAGCAAGATGCCCAATCGACGCCCACCGAATCCCCACTCGATCAAGAGAGCAAAAATTCCATCCTCTGCACAGTGCCTTGTCATCCACATTATCATCTCTGAGGACCCTACAATGAGTCCGAGCGTGTCGTAAAAGATGAGGAAGTCTACGCCCAAAAGTACCACAGATGAGGTCGTCTTTGCGCACATTGGGCAGCGGCAGAAAAAGACAGTGGATTTGGACTGCTCCCAGCTAGCTACCGGCGGCGTCTTCGAGCCAGAAAAGAGGGATATGAAGTTACACGATCATCTTCCCCGAAGAGAGTCATACAGCCTCCTCAAAACTAATTGCTCTGCATGTCTGTTGAGTTCGGAGCAATATGTTGGTTGCGATGTCTTCCACCACTGCGCCAAACCTGCCGATGATCACAGTGAACGAGGCTAGTCCTCGCAATTGTCGTTTCTTGTGGGATGCAAGCACAATGCCAGTACTCTCGGCCAACGACGTGAACGAGGGCCCAAAGGTACCTTTGTTGTTTGATCCTGTCGAATATCTTCATCCAGGTGATGTCAAAAGTTCCTGATGCTTCCTTCCATGATCCCATGCATCGCCGCTTGAATCTTCAGCCGGCCCGGGCCACGAAATAAACGTTTCTGTATCTTCATATATCCATCCCATATGTTCCTGAGATGCATTCCTTGATCGTTCTTAGGGGAACGATGCATTCCGCTCGGGCTATGGTGGCTGAGATATCATCGAATCAGATCTTGTTCCCCCCTTTCCCGAGGGGTGCACGGGTTTGGTTAATTATCACATGCAGCCACTATGGCTTTCCAATGCACTTTTCCTAGCTCAGTTTGATATGCATGCCTACAGCTACCTACTGCTAGCCAATGCGATGGTCTCGCCTCCACAATGAGCCTTTGCGCTCGGGTTTTTTTGGCGGCGAAGCAGGTACACCCGGCCACGGACTGCATCACATCCAGCTACCTCTGACGGGAACACTCCGTCCATGTAAAACCATCGTTTTGTACGCTCTCATCTTGTCGCTGACGGATCGTTTGGAGAGGCTTTGGCTGAAGAGCGTTCCGGGTTTCTTGTACTATTCAAGACTCTTTTACTCGCCTCGAGCCTAGGGTACCCGGCAGCTGGTAAGATGAAGTTCCCAGACTGAGATGGATAAGAAGCCCAGAGACCCAAAACCAGACTCCAATCCAAAGCCTGTGTGTCGGTCCGGCTGCTGAGGTGTCTACGCCGACGATCAAACGCTCGCCCAGATAACGTGCCCATGCGGATATGGATATTATGATAAGGAACAACATATATTTAAACCAGGAGTCTTAGTAAGAGGCGGAATTGCGCCGACGCGAGAAGAATATGTGGACCATGTCCGAGGCTGCGAGAAGCGACAGTACGGTGCACCTATTGTGACGCCACTTGCTGGTCAGATATTCCACGAGACTAGAAGGAGCTCGGTGAAAAGCTATACACTTCCGAAAGGGTGGATCGAGAGAGAGGCACCTGAGTTTTACCTTAAGTCCATTCTCCACGAAGTTGTGCGCATCCATTTACGGCTTTCGACCCTTCGATACTCTTTAGGCTAATATCCGCAAGGAAACCACCAGTGAGTCCATTATCTATGGGATTGATTCGATATCAGAGGTACGCTTAAAATCTAGTTTTGTGTGCGTCTCATGAGGGCTCTAATCTAGGCTTGGAGAGACAAGCGAGAAAATCTGAATGACTCCCGGGAATGGGTGGGAGATGCAATATCTCCGAATGACGGTACGCTGCCCTCTGTACTTGAAGTTGGACATGCTCATTAGGTTGCTAGTGCTGCTCTACGAGGACTCTCAAGTCGCAGAGAGAAGAAAAAGGGCTGTGACCATTGCTGCAGAGCAGTCAGGACCATATGAGTGAGACAAACCTCCACTGCCTCGTATAACACTAGTGCAAGTCTCACAACGAGAATTAATCCCGTGTTCCATCCGGCGCGGCACACACATATCCTGGGTTAACGTTGAGCAATGTTCCATCTCTTTTCGTCTCCCAGCCCATGGAAAGAGTCGATTCAGGCATTAGGCTGGACTCATTGGAAGGGATAGATCCAGACAAGGGCCTACCAGCGCCGGGAGTAGCATCATCTAAGACCTCCACGACACAGGATCAGCGTCGCTCTAGCCACCAAAAAGGTTCTTCTATTCCCGATTCTGCCGCAAGAGAGCAGAAAGCCAAAGACGCTAACTCTCTACGGCGGAATGCAAAACTGTCCGACGCCGCATATACAAAGACGTGTACTCTGGACGTGAGTGATGCTAAGAATTTGCTTGCTCAATTTTTGAGGCCTACGAGTTTGCGAGATGCAATGGTGCTCTATGGATCGGGGCAGAATACACGCTGCGAAACTTTCAGTGACTACCTGCCCTTCCTGACCGGGGCGCCAGTGTATTCGTGGATCCTTTTCTAGACAGCTTCGAAACCGCAATTCGGTCACCGGATTTGACTGCAAAACTGCATCTGCAACCGTATTCAAAGGCTTGGGCTCAGTGTACATTCCGAAAAGACCCATACGCCCGGGTGGAAAGCGACATGATGGCCATTTCGTTGGAAACCAATGCGCAAAGAGTCTGTACAACGATCGACAAGTTGCTTATCGGTATCGTAGCGGCTTCTAAGGCAACCCTCAGGTCCTTTTCTCACTGTTTCGAACGCTAAAATGCTCGATTTCAAGACGAATACTCGGGTTCTACCCACGTCGCTGCAAAACATTTCTGCCGATGCATGCTGGGGACCTGTGTTCCGGAAAAATTCACTCGATGATGGCATTTGCCTAGTCGGTGTCTACACTATCCTTACGACTGCGCGAGCCGTGTATGACAAGGGAACAGCAGGATGCTTACAATGGCACTTGTTCAGTGTAGAACCTTTGAAATGCAGCGTCGACGTTTCAAGAAGGAAGCTTTGGCAGCTTTGATCAGAGCATCGGCCGGAGGAGTGGTATCGGAAGGAGGAGCTCAAGGATCTTCTGTGCTTCAAGGGGCATTTTTTGGGTTGGTGTGGGCCATCTGTTACAACCCGGGGGACAGAGTCGCAAACCTGCGACCTAAAAGGCGGTCGGATGCACCCTCTAAGGACAAAGAGGAATGCGAGAACAGTTCCACGTTTACCATGAGTTTTGTCATGCACGGCGCCAGTGTTGGTGCAAGCCGAACCACCAGATTCGGGTGGACCGAACGCTATCCTTTCGAAAATAGACAGAGGAATCTCACATCATGGCTGGACTCAGCCACGGTAGAGCAGGTCCTTCTGTACTGTCCGAGTCGAAAACAGGCATGGTTGGTCTCGAAATCTCGCAGATTCTTCATCTAGTGATCGCCCACATGAAAGGTATGCAGGAACAACATCCAGAACTCAGCTTCAACTTCCCGTATTGCTAGGACTCAGCTATAACTGAAGGCGCATTTCGAACGCTGTGGGACCATCTGGAAGACCCTCTGCCAGAACCTGACCTGGAAAGCGACTGCAGACTCAAGCACCTGGTGACTACATACCTATACTCTTTGGACAACGTCAGTCGACGTACGCGAGTACCACGGTTCAGCCAAGTTTCCTACGGGTTTGAAGCTGCGGACATTATACACCAACCCAAGTATTTCCGCCTGAAGACTGAGAATGCCTCGAATCAGATCTTTCAAATCGGCAGCCCTGGCGGGTGGACGAGACTGTTGGAGGTTATTGATGTCCTCCTCTTTATCGAAGGCACCCAAGATCCTATCGTGCCGCATTCCCCAGATGCGGCAAATGGGCATGGCGACTTCACATCTGCTGAACTGCACAGGATGCCCCGACAGCGAAAATTTGATGGCAGCAACAATTGCGAGTCTCCGATGTCTCTGGAACGACGCTTTTAGCGGCAGCTGGCATCGACTGGCTACAAATGCCTATTGGAACTGCAACGGGCAGGTCTTCGGTCCTTGTAGGTGTAGCGCCGGAGTGGCTTGTCAGCGCATGCAAATGATATGGCCGAACAACAATGCCAGGCAACCCAACGTCAGGGATCTAGAAAGGAGCCGGGGGGGGCGTATTATTTTCGTTGCCGGCGCTGGACTGGTCGAGGGAATCGGCTGTCGACTGGGTGAGATGCGGACTGGGGCACGCCCAAGATCTCCATTCTTGCTGAAGTTCTCTTTCCGGTGGTCACTGATCACGTCATTGATGTTAAGAAGGCTCTCTGTTAGTTGACAAGTCCGCGCAAGGCTGAGGTTTTGTACAAGCTTGGGGCGGCGCTGTCGGTCGACCCAGATGCTGTGCTGGGGCACTTGGGGTATCGACAGGACCCATTCGGCACTCTACTTAAAAGTACTCTGTACTTACCACTACTCAGAAAGGACCAAGAGACGAAGTCCACAGGTGCGTGCCGTGGACGGCACAGCAGCCGTTAGTTCGTGACTCAAGCGGGCCAAGGGACTGAACGAGTTTTAATGTAGGTATTACCTTGCCTACCGAGAACCCTAATACAGCACCGCTTACATCCCAGATACATACAAACCACACTGGGCTTCCTCATTGTCTGCTGTCGATGCTGAGCAGAGGTCGTGTCCAACATCACTTAACTTCGCTTTGGCTATTAGGCCAGGAAATACTGAGTACCTACGAAGCAAATCTTGTAAACACTGCCCTTTCGAGAAAGAATTTTAGTCCGCTTAATTAACGTGTATCCCTTTGTGCTAAGAGTCCCGCCGTACTAAATTCGGGCTAAATTGAAATGTCTGACCGAAATTTCTTAGTGTTATGGACCTTCTCTAAATTTAGGTGCGATTCCCAAATTTAGGATTCCACCACAATAGTCCCCTAATAATCGTCTAACAGAGTTATTTAACAAGGTATTCTATATTAAGTGTACTATTAGATTGTATTGCAGCGACATTCCTTAGTGATCTAGGTGGGGAGGCAGTCTGGTAAGCATCTGCACCACCTTCTCGTGGCCACCTTGTGACGCCGCCTATAGTGCGTTGCCATAGTCGCCTCCTTGTGCGTTGACATCGGCACCCTTGTCGAGTAGTATTTGCAC